TATTCAAATAGGGAGTCTCAGTACTCATTACATACTTTATCAAGACTATTTAAAAGTAATGTAAAATCACAATTTCAATTTCACTTGATTGATATTTTTGTACCCTTCTTTCGACTGCGCGAGGAACTGGCGATAGTTTGGGGTCGTTATTTACACTAGAGAATGAACGTCTGAACTTAATTTCAGTTTTACTTTAGCTTGTTACATGTTTTTGTTTTTTACAGTTACATTCCACTACTAAAAATGATTTAATTACGTCTCTGACGTGTCACTTGATGTCATTTACAGTTCAACGTGCCAACTTGTGTGATATCTGTGTTGGACTAACCAATGTGATAAATTTCTGAGGATAAGAATATGACCGTCTCGCCAAGCCAGAGAATGAAACAAAAACAAATTAAAAGTTTTAGAGACTTTTGAAGCATCAACATTCCCCATGATATTTTTCAAGAAGTATTCTCTCTTGCATAAAAAATGTATATGCTGACTTAATAAATTCCGGCATAGTACATGCCTTGTTTTTTTTCCCTGGTTGTTAAAGCTCGAGCAAATTCCTGATTCACAAATGTTTGTGAAGGTATATCCCCAGCATCTGACTCTTGTTTTCAGTGACCAGGCACCAAGGAAGAAGTGATTACACTTCAAAAACCATATCACATTTTATTCAATTTAACCTGAGAGCCTTATAATAAGTAATTAAAAACCAAACACAAAAGCAAAACCAGCTGTATCCACAAATGTTTTTTAAATCTGTATATCAAAAAGCGTAAATAGCGAAACTTAGACCTTTATCTTGTCTTTGTGGCTCTCGTAATCTAGCCGTTGTGGACTAAGGATCATATTTATTGCTTCAACAATTAAGATAGTTTTAGTCTAAAAAATAACTGTTCAGCGATTTATCTTTACTGCCTAACTTGTTTACAACTGGTCCTCGCAATCTAAATCTCCAAAATATAAGCAACTTGAATGTCGTGTTCCTCCCACAGCCAATAAGCGCTGCACTTTCTACGAAGTACCTTCACGGTGTAGAGGACAGGCTTGCAACGGACGTCGCAACCGCTGCATGTGGCATGGCCCAAAAACCTCGGCACTGTGTCAACCAAATCTGTCAAGGTATACGTATTGGAACCTTTGCCTTGAGTTGGAGGATTCGAATGAGGAATAATCATGTAACCATAACGGTGGATGAACTGAAGGATGTCATCTGAGGATGTTTTATTGGTACCCAAGTCAAGGCAAGTTGATAGCCCGCTCCTATTTTGACCACATGGTAGACTGCATACTGCGACGCAGGAAATCAGCCATAAGAAAACCTAAAATCCAAAAATGATAATCATGTTGTTTGAAAGTGAGTTTACAACCATGAAACTCTTAAGCAGAATGCATAACTCTGGAAGGAACTTGTTGATATCTGAGTTATTTTCTTTTTAAATTTAAAAATCAATCAGAATGTTTCAGAGGGAAAATGACATTGCAATACTGACCACCCAAAGATTTGCTAGCGGCGAAGCGATTTTAATCGATTGCAAGTCGAAAAAGACGCGATTACACCGTTGTTGCTTTAATCCGCTTGTTATTTTCTCCAAGAATCCACACTACTACTAAAATTCATGTGCAAAACTGAACTAATAGAGATCCGATCTCCTGTGCTTGACACAAGTAGCATGATTTTATGAAGTTTATTTGATCATTTATTTACCCTCTTTCATTTTTCCCGTGTGTTTCATGGCTGTTGTTATTGCTTTGGTTCTAAATTAAACGCTATCTAAGGATTTACAAGACTGCAGACTACACGCAGGGCGGTGTTATATCTGCTTATTATCTTGTTCGAATTTCTCTTCATCCGCCAGAAATCCAATTTTTAGGTGCATCATTAATTAGGATGCATGCAAATTTTTGAAAGCTACTTCGATACACAAGGAAGAGCTCTTCAAGGAAATCTGAATGATTTTTCCAAGAAGTTGAACAACACAATGTCCTTTAAAAATTGTGCGCATTTAAACGCTATCTAAAACTTTACCTAATTTTACAGATGGCGAACAATGAAAATGAACAGATGGCATTAGGTTTCAGATGTGAACAATAGCTTAGGATTAGTTTAGACACAACTTGATCAAAACCTACCACAGATGTGTACATTTCTTCGCAAGGGCTTGCCCGTGACATCTAAGTCTTTTGAAGCTTGGCTGAATAGTAACCTTTTAATACCACACCTAGACATAAATATTTATCACTTATCGGTGCTATGAACACTTTCAGTGTACCTGTGTAGGTACCAAGTATTACGAGAGAGCGCATTTTCAAGTGATGGGACAATGTCCTCTGTCCTTTTTACTGAACCGCATCCACTAATATTACATGGTCAATACTAAAGACGTTCCTAAAAAGATTATTGAAGGAATGCGTTTCTCCTCCAAATGTGACGGAATTTTTTTTTATTTCGGCTGCACTGACACTTTTGGACTTCTGTGGGAACTCTCGAGGAAGGGAAATAGCTCGCTAAGGCAGCACTTAGCTCGTGTGAAAGGAAATCGTCACGATTTCTTAGCACGCGAAAATCTGTTTCAAAGGTCTTCTTAAAGGATGTCGGGACATCGTTTCATCTAGTATTTATTCTTCTTACTCTTCGTAATCTTCTAAATCAATAACATTCTGGAACAGCTCATGCTTACAAAGCATTCCTTGCTATGTACTTTCTTTTACAGGAAATCTATAGTATACAGCTATTCAACGAATTAGGTGCGAATTGTCCTGGAGCATTCACCAATCTTCTAAGACTATAGAAGATTGGTATAAGACTATATATTTTTTTTACAAAAAAAAAAAGAACAAAAAAACCAAAACAAAAAAAACAGCAGTCTTGTGCGTTTCTCTTTATGGTAAGAAATTAACAAATCTACGGTGAAGTCATTCGATATCTGACAAGCAAGGTCGAGTTTTAATGTTGTTATGGGCTCTGAGAAATAGGATCATAAGCTTACTCATTTCAATTAACTTATTTTGATATAAGTAAAAAATATAAAAAAGACAGTTTAGATGTAGATGGTTGATGGATAGTGTGGCAATAATTATGTTTGAGTCCATAGCTATAAAAAGATATTTTAGATGTAACTATTTTTGATGTGAACTCTAAGAAATACGGAAGGTGAGAGGTAGCTTTAAGAAATCTTTATTTCTCAGCCATCGAAGAAACGTGCTATTTCCAGGCCAACAGAACCTGCGTTGGTTAGTGTCAATTGTAGCTTCAAGTGAGGCCCATTGTAGCCTGATTGTTAATATTCCTTCCAACATAAATTATGGTACTTTCCCTAATTCCCTCTCCACGGTTCAAAATAATTATAGTGACAGACATATCGATATATGTGTCTTCAGGGAAAGGGTTTCATCGCTTTTCAGAAAGTTTCAGTATTCTTTCATATCCATGAATTATTAACAAAAAATTTTACAAACATTATCAACGATTCAAAAAGTCATTACTTTATATTGTATTTTTTAGCTTCGATTCACTTGAATTTATTATAAAGTTCGGATATAACGCGCGCTGTCATTGGTTTGTTGAGCGTGTGTTTTATCAGAGTAGAAAACACAAAGCTCAGCTAAAACGGTCACGTCATCTGCCAATTTGTACAATATCCGACCATTTTCCAGGCGTCACTCCAGCTTTTTCTTTTTGTTAATTGAAAGAGAAATTTCATAACAAGCGAGTCAGTAGCAACGGAAGAACTAAACAAAGGTTTGTAAACATGCCAAGCTCGATAATTGACGTTCGTATAACGTGAACAGAGGCCAAAAGAGAAATGGACCGTGCTAGATTTAAAGGTTTTCACACTCAGTGATATTGTAATCTGACATAGGTCAATAAAACTCAACATTGCAAACACTCGTATAGTATATATCGCTTCGTGTTCAAAAACAAAACAGAACAAAACACTCAAGAAGTAAGGAGAAACACTCGACTACGTGTCATCTTTCCCCCACTCTTCTTTCTTGCTCTATCCGCTTCCAGCGTCCTTTACAACAGAACAGAGCAAAGTCAAGGCTTTTTTTTTTTTGATATTGTTCTTTGAAGCACATATACAGAGTACATACACTCGACCACGGTATACCGTCCCGATCAATTTAATGCCCTTAAAGCTTAAGGACGGCGCTTTTACCTTGTATCTTAATATCGATGTGTCATCAAGGCTTGTTTTCGATTTTTAAGAACTGATAATAAACTAGTCGCTTCAACTTTTGCTCCTTCTTAATGAAGACCTAGTTTCGTTCGAGAAAGTCACAGCGTAATTCTACATACAAAAGAAAAATTTGTTAACGCAAATAGTAAGCGAGGCGCGTGCATGTGTAAACTATTACAAAAAAAAAGGTGGCTCAGTTTTGATTAGGTATGAAAACTGAAAAACAATCTTTTTTTAATCTGGCGTAGACCTTGAAAGAAGTATGACGTCATAAATTTACGTCTGAAGATTTTATCGAGTGGCTTTACAGCGCGGAACTGTTTGTGATCCCAACGTCTGAGAAAGAGAAGTAGATGTCAAAAATATTTAAAATTACTTCAAAATATGTCATATTATCTTTTGCATGATTTCTATTTTCTCTTTTTCTACTTATATGATGTTACAAGTATCCCCACGTTCGGTTTGTTTTTGGTTCAAAAGGGAAACTCTTGATCTAAATTAACAACATCCACTTACAATGACTTAAATTTAAACTGAATTAATTATCATGTGAACATTTATGGATGATATATTTTTAAACTCTTTTTCTTCAGGAATTCATATCAATATAAGAATTTTGTGACTCTCTGGAGGAAGACAGAGCATTTAGACGATTTAAAATATGCAATGAGCAAAACAAATCTGACATTGGTTTATCTGAAATAGGAGGGTTGAGTTCTTCTTCGCTACCAGACTAAAATGAATGGATGCTAAGATCGTTAGAGTTCGTGGTGATATCGGTTGAGAGAATCAGATATTATACTTTGCCTCGGGCTTCAACACCGAATGCATGAATACCGCCTGTGTAACACCTCTAAAACGAAACTTGTAATGATGGTTAGGGTCGAGAGATTACATTGGTAACCACGTCAACACAACAAATTAATAAGGCGGGGAAGAAATGGCTTGCTACACCGATACAGGTGAGGAGACTCCCGCAGAAGATCGAGTTCTTTTGCATTAATGCCTCTGCAACTGCAGTAGATACAATTATGTTACTTGATACAGAACCATTAAACTTTTCATCAAGGCGTTGTTTGTTATTGTGGTTTAAAAACTGACATACCCACGCTGATTTAAATCAGTGTTTGGAAACGATAGAAGGAAAATAACTACATACTCGGACATGCTTATTTACTTTAGAAGTTTTGTGACACTTTAGATGTGGCTCAAGGAATCAAACCTATTCAAGGTACATGTACATTTAGGCTTTATTTCTGTGTTCCTGAACAGTTCAGGCCACTCGGGGTTCACTGGTATTGATCTTGTAATATTTGCAGATAAAGATCAGTAAAAAAATTGAAGAACAACAATCACTGTAGGAATATCTTGTAAACATATTCTGAAGGTCGCCAAATCTAAAGATTGGCATATAGACTCGGAGTGCTTATTGCTTTGATATTACAACTTTCCTAGATTTAGAAATAGCATCATTTTATCGAAAAATTCCACTTTGGTTACTGCGCCGTTTCAGCTGTACGTGCCTCGAAGCTTAAGGCTATATAAGCTTTGAAATGCCCAGCTTAGCCAGATGTCACTTGCAAGTCTTCGCGAACAAACAAAGAAATACATACAACAATGTACAAACTTGCGGTAAGTTGTGTTCAGACCTAATTCTATACAATGGTTAAGATATGGAAGCGGATTTATTCTAGGTATATTTTTTGGTTTTTATTTTTATCTATCCAAATTTTCTGGCAATAACCTAAGATGCAGTCAAAGCCAAATAACAGATTTAGCGCATTTAATTCTCTGAGTCAAATCAATTTAGAACATGTTAATTGCTAGCCATATTTGACAGGTGGTTGCTCGTCCTCCAAAACGCATGGTTCTTGAAACGGCTGTTATTTCATAATCACAAAATGGTATATTCTTCCATCAAGCCTGAAACACAGAAAGCCTTTTGAAAAGCGGAAGAAAACTGAAACCAGAGCAATTGGAATCACCACTCGAGAGAGGAAGAAGTCAATGGATAATTCAAAATACTAGTGTCAAGGGCAAGAGAAACAATTGGTTTGGTGCTTTAGATGAGTTTTTGAATATGAAATGAGTTCCTAAAGCCAATCAAAAAGAGAAGTAGAGTAATATCAAAGCAGCCGCCATCTACTTTCAAAACTCACAAGTTATATAGAAATCGCTTCATCGCCGGCGCGTCGGTTTAAACGGCATTGCAACGTTAAATTTTCATTTTCCGTAGCCTTCTTGCTGATTAGAAAAGCATAGCAATACTACTAACACGTTTCTTTGAGAGTTCAACCTTCTGTTGGATAGGGTCATGGTTTTAAACTCAGTTTACATGACCATATCATCTTTAAATTTAGGTTTTAGCACTGCTGACCAACTGTGTCGCTGTGTGCAGTTTGCCATGCAGCAAAAATTGGAGCAGACTTGCCACTTGCCTTGGCATGGATTTAAACAAAAGTTTCTCGGATGATATCATCCGGTTCATTCATCGACGTGGTTATATGATCGTTCCTCCGTCCAACCCCCCAACTCAAAAGCAAGGTTCTCATACGAAGAGGTCGATTTACTCTGGAAGATGCCCTTTCACGTTCGCAGTGAAAGATTTCATAGACACAGTGCCGAGGTTTGTCTCCTATGCCACATGCAGTGGCTGCGACGTCCGTTGCAAGGCGGTCCCCTACACCGTGAGTCTACTTCGCAGGAAATGCGGCGATTATTGGTTATGGGAGGAGCGAGACATTCAAGCTGCATATATTTTGGAAATTTAAAATGAAAAGAACAACAGTAATGGAGCAAGGCAGCAATAATAGTTCTAAAAGGTCCCGGAGTTGCTAGTTATAGAGCTAAGTCTGTATTGCGAAAAACTGTTTCTTGACTGTTGAACTCAAGCTGTCTCGTTGTTTACCTTGAATCGATAAATAGTGCTTAGTTATATATCATATCAGGGAATAGTTGTATTAAAGTACAACTACTGTACTTTAACATTTGTTCTTTTTCACTTCAGTAAATAAAATCTGTCCAATCCTTTCTAATAAAAATTGGTTTGGATAAAGTTTATTTGTTTTTCGTTAATTTTGCTTGTGTGTATTTTGATGTAAGCTTTTACTCGCTAAAACTTAAAAACAGCTGGAATCAGTTTTAGAGAAGGAGTTTGTTCTCATCCCCTTTATCTCATAGAATGGCAAGTAAAATGTGATTTCAGTCATTGTTCGAGTTTAAACAAGACGTTTTATAGAAATTTTGAGACCTGGAACTAAGTTCTCTAAGCTGTGTTTAGAATCCCAGTCCAGTTTATACGAGTGCCGAGGGTTAAGTTAATCTCGCTGTTAAAATGATCAATCAGACTGCGTCAGAAATCATACCTTGATCATAAAAAGGGTCTTAAGTTTATTACTCAGCACTTTTTATTATTTACATCCGCTCCATTATAATCTTTAAAGAGAAATTTAGATCTCCTACGGTTGTCCTCGGCAGTGACAGAAAAAGGTTGAAACGGGAAAGCTGAAGATTCATTTTCTAACATCATAATATGCATATTCTTTCTTTGGAAGGGCACTAAGTCAAGTAAACCAATTTTAAACCGAAGTTTTTACGCTGCTAACAAACTCTGACGTTTTAAGGCTCAGAATCGTGAAAGAAGGACAGAATATTGAATCAGCACAGCCCCTCCGCCCCCAAACCCCTTATGGTGAGACTTCTATGGTTGCTTTTAGAAGAGGGAAAACACGTGAAAGGAGTTCAGGGGGTGAAGTTACATTACAGTGATTGTCAGTGATACGTGTTATTGAAGCAGTGCTTACTTGCTCGAAGTCTGTTTAATTTGATCATTTTTCCAAAGGATCGATCGATAAGACATGTTGATACTAGGGATACTTCTAAAAACTGACTATGGAAAGAGTATCTACTAAGGATTATTTTTAAATCATTTGTGATCGGACTCCCCATAATTTTTTTTAACCTTTAACAGGCTCAACGTATGTCCAGGAGTTCACCTGGTAGATGAACGATTCATGTTGGAGTATGAGTTTGTCAGTTGTCGAATCAAAGGCTATGAAAACATGTTTTTCAGGACTTGATCGACACTTGAAGGTTTAAGTCAAAGTACAAAGCCTTCAGGGAAATGGATAAAGCAAAGAAGGCTCCGGAATGACTCTCAAATGAGCTCCTAAAACGTGTCACTGGTATTATTAGCTATTCATCTAAACTGTCGGAGTACTTTGGAATCTACCAAAACGTGAACTGATTATGTAAATAAGAGTTCGTCGCAATTCTTTGCTTTTCTACACCGACGAAAAAAGTACAACTTCAGCAACAAAACAAATGGGAACAAAATGTGAATTGATTTTGCCTTTCAAGACATATTCTGTTTCTTAACTTTTCATTGCTATGGGTAATTATCCAAACAATCTATTCTCCCCATTGTCATCTCTGTTTACTTTCGTAAACGTGGAGTTTTTACGCTTTTGGGGATTGTTTCACATGAAATTCTACACGCTCCATAATAAGGCGCTATTTAATTTTGTTTTCTAACGCCCCACGGCGTTAAAAGGGTTCGAATGTTCAAGAAGAAAATTTTTGTGTATGTGTTTTAAGGGGGGGGGGAGGATCAGCTTTTGTATGGGCTTTGACACTTTAAACGATGATTAAGCAAGATACGCACAAGATGAATTTTCGTTCTTAGGGAGTTATTAGTTTATTTCTTGTTCAAAATTTTCTTTTCGAACCGAAAACAGGGAAAAGAAAAACCTCCACGATGCTCAGTGTGTATACTCTCAAACAGAAATAAAACTATGTTCAGAACTTGTGGTGTCACTATGTGTTTACTCTCTGTGAAAACCCCTCTCTTTGAGAACCCCTTAAAACATTGAAATAAGAATAATTGGGGCTTTCGCCGAAGCGGATACCTGAAATCAGAGTTGTACTGCTCAAGAATTCAGAGATAAGAAGTGCCACGCACAATTTGACTCAAGTGCCCACTAAAAGGGGAACAGAGTTAGCAACTTTAGTTGAACTTAGAAGCCATAAGAAACTTTCTTGATACCATGAGATGACATGGAACGTGATTCATTGTAAACAATCAATGTGCAAGGAATACCCTACGCGAAGTCAACGGCATTGACTGCACTGTTTTTGTTGATTGAGCCTCCTGTCCCGTGTGTCCAACTATAACGTCCGATATATGATCAACATTCGTGCGGTGAGACGAACATTTCAAGTAGAGTCTACCTAAACGTGAACTGAATATGTAACTAGGTGGAAGGTGCACTTCCTTCTTTCACAGAGACGGCAGTAAAAAACGAAAAACATCTCTGAGATCTGACTCACTTGCTCAAGTAAAGAATGGTGCTAATTGCGATGCTATAACGTCGACCATCACGTGCTTAGCGCGAGTTGAAGAAAATTCTCATCAGTATTTCTATGAAAATCTACGAGAGATCTCGATACTTTAAAATGTCAAGTTTTATGTGCAAAAGAACCAGTTCACTCTGAGCTTTCTCAAGATTTTCTCTCCTTCTGTCGTAACGTTTACTGAAGAAGAAAAGCAGAAAAGATGAAAACATTTAAGCATTATAAATATAACTACGCTCCGTAAAGAAGGGCATAGGGCAAAACATGGACTGGACCATTAAAACCTTGCACTATTGGACTATTTTTGAACCTTTTTTTTTTTTGGACCATTTTTTGGCTCATTAAAAATCTTTCGACGTCTCTTTTAGGTCACGCTACGTAACTTGAATAAGAATACTAACGATCTGGCTTCGTGGGAGTCTTTTGTCAAGTTAACGAAAGTCTTATGTTCTTTGATATATAAATTCGATAGAGGCATGCCATGAAGGTTAATTTCTCAGTCTTACTAATGATGTACCGTTACTTTTTCCGGATCAACGAATAGAAACGGTCTAAAACCGTGTGTTTTCTTTGAGGCAGGCTAATTGAATAGAAAAAAGTTTTGGTCGAGTTCCACAAAATAAATTACTAAATAACCTCGCTTGCTCGAGTTGCACTAAAGAATATTGGCCTTATGTCCGAACTATCATGACCCCGGGCCAATATTCACAGTGTGTCCCATCATTAAATTATAATCTTACATCTAGATGACGCTCGAATCGAATATGGGGTTCTAATGGCCGCGAAAACCTTTTTCCTGATATTCAGGAATTGCATAAATATTACTGTGGCCATTAGTGGAAAAGTGGCTGTTACAGTTTTCATCAAAACGCAAAACGTTCGATAATCAACTGCATGATCTTTATTTCCTAGATTCGATTTTTAATGGAGGAATCACAGTTTTCAAAGCCATCTTTCTGTCAGTTTTTGAGCAATAAGCTGAGTTTCTCTTTACACTTTATTGCAAAACATTTAGATAACAATATTAAACTACATTTTTAAAATTCGCATTTACACTTCTTAAAATACATTTGGAATATAGGTATAAATAGGTTTCAATTTCATTTTGCATTTCTTTTATTTCTATTTAGCAACAGCTAATGGGAAACCCGCAGTTGAGTGTTTTTATGCCATTGTTTGGAAAACAATGGGTAAAGTTGTGCATTGCATACACAGGCAAGAGCCGTCTACAGCTTATGCTTTTCCTACAAGTATAGTATGTTACACACAGCAAGAGATCTAACGCTCTGAGTATACGACTTCGGATCAGTCACAGCTATGGGTGCTTGAGCCAAGATTTGTGCCTCGATTGTTGCACAAGTAACCTTTCCATTTCCTGGCGAGAAAGATGGTGGTTTGGCGTCCACGAGGCTAATAGCACCAAATGAGAGAGCCAACAACATGGTAACAACAATCTAAAAAAACCAGTAGAAAACACAATGGTTACAAAAATATTTGACTTTTTGTTTCATGTGAATATATGGTGTATTTAGTTGAGAGATGTCAAGTTCTGTGCCCAGTTAAGGTCCTCTTTTGATTTCTCTCGACCAGTCTATAGACAAAATAACATGATGTTCATCTTTGAAACCGATCCGTCAAAGAAGCAAATAAAAAGCAGTCCTTATCAATTTGAAATAAAGCTCAAATGCTTTTTGAAAGGTAAATTTTAAATGGACATAAGATGAAAGATTTCCAGGGAGAGAGAAATTGTCTCAAGGAATGTCTTTCTCTGACGCATTTAGACGTGGATCAAAACACATTTTTGTTTTTTTCTCTTCCGGGGTCATGATTGATCAAGTTCTTTAGATCATGAATTCATGGCAAATTTTTTAGAAAAGGAAGAAATATATTCATCATATTTCAACCCTTATTATATATGCGACAGTTATGACTTATGACTTAAGTCAAGACTCAGCAGATACCAATTAAAATCAAAGAAAGAGATTAGTATTTTCTTTACTAGCTTAACTTATTGTATTAAGCCATTGCTTTACAAAAAAAAAAAAAAAAAAAAAAGGAATAGGAAAGAGAAGATAATCCTACCTGTAAACAATCACCCATGTTTGTTTTTCTTTAGCCTCTTCTTGTAAGCAGGTACCCTTGAACCTTTTCGTATCCTCTGGATGTTTTTGCTACAGACTCTACCCGATAAAGGTTCTTATGTATATATATATATATATGTCTTCTACCTCCGCTAAAAATGTATTTATACAATTTTTCCTTGAAGAGTTTCATCGCTCTTTACAGCGTTTTGTCGTAGTTTTGTCGGGTTGTTTTCAAACAACAGGAAGGCTAATCAATTTCGTCTTCTCCTGATTTTAGGGAAATTAACGACTACTATCCTGTATCTGGCGAGAGTTTTAAAGCATCACCTATCTTC